GTGGCTTCTGTGGGGAATGGGGGTGAGATTTTTCAGGTTACTGAAGTTGTGTACCTAGGAGGATTATGCCTGCTTCTGCTGAGTCATGCGGGTTGTTAGGGAAGTCAGAGAAAGCTAGCAGTCACAGGCCTCACTCAGCTCCCACACAAACTGAAGGACCAGTCTCATTTCCCCCATGGCCCATCCCCAACAGCCTCAAATCTGTTTCTAGGTGGTGGAGGAGACAGGTTTGAAAACTCACCCCAGGCTACCTGTCTCCCATCTGCAAAAGAAAGGGGCTTGGTTGTTCCCCTACCTGTGGAATCTGCACACTAGACTAGAGCCCTTCCCCAAGTTCTGGCCAGGAGGCTTCTTGCCCCATTCAGATTGTTATAGAGCTCAGTGAAAGAGTTCCCTCTCCCTGTGTAGTTTTACTTCTTGCTTCTCTGGCCACCCTCCCAATGGATCCCTGTGGTACCAAGGAGGAACGGGCTGCTTGGGGACCTAGAGAGCTCCCAGGACCTTTCTGCTCCTTCCTTTATCCCTGTATTTCACTCAGCTCTCTAAATTGACTCAGCTCCAGGTAAGGTTGGAACCTTCTCCAGCAAACAGACCTTCAATTTCTCCAGTAGGGGTATGCATTCGGGACAGGAGGTCTCCCTTTCCCACTTCTGCAATTGGAGCACTCTAAGTATTTGAAGTGTCTCCTGGGTCCTGCTGGAGCAATCCACTTTTTCAGAGGGTCTGTGAGTCCTCTCAAGATTGCTGGTTTGTTCTTGCAGCAGTCAATCTGGAGCTTAAATTCAGAATGGCAGCCTCCACATGCTGCTCTGTCCAGAGCTATAATCTAGTCCTGCCTCCCATCTGCCATGCTGATCTCCATAGGCTTTCTTCATTTCTTTTTATCCTTTTCACTTTTACTTTTACTCTTTTTTCTCTATTGTATTTTTTCAAATAATCTGTCTTCAAGTTTACAAATTCTTTCTTCTGTTTGATCAATTCTGCTGATGACCTTCTTATTGCATTTGTTATTTTATGCATTGTATTCTTACACTCCAGGCTTTATGGAGTCTTAAAAATTTTAATCTCTTTGTTAAACTTCTTATTTTACTCATTTATTGTTTTACTTGTTGCAATTTATTGTCTCTCTGTGTTCTTTTTTAGTTTGCTGAGCTTCCTTAAAATAGTTATCTCGAATTCTTTTTCAGCCAGTTTGAAGATCTCCATCTTTTTGGGACTTGTTACTGGGAAATTATTATTACTTCTATTATTTGAGACAAGGTCTTGCTCTGTCCCTAAGGCTGGAATGCAGTGACACAATCATGGCTCACTGTAGCCCTGAACTCCTAGGCTCAAGTGATTCTCCTGCCTAGGCCTTCCTGGTATCTGGGACTACAGGCATGTGCCACTATGCTCGTCTAATTTCTTTATCTTTAGTAGAGACAGGGCCTTGCTATGTTGCCCAGGCTTGTCTTAAACTCCTGAACTAAGCATTCCTCCTAATTTGGTCTCCCAAAATGCTGGGATTACAGGCATGAGCCACTATACCTGGCTGATATTATTGTTTTGGTGGTAATGTTTCCTTGGTTTTTCACATATTCTTTTGTCCTTCATTGATGTTTGCACATTTGGTGGAGCAGGCATCTCTTTCAGACTTTATGTACTGGTTTCATTGGGAAAAGGCTTTCACTTAAGGGAGATTGATAAGGCACTGACTGGGAGAGATGTGGCAGTTTGGGCTCTGGCAAGGGTGCAGTGACATAATCTTTGTGTTGCTCTGTCAACTTAGGTTGGCATTGGTGAAGACTGCAGGGACTTTTAGAAGCCAAAAATATGGATATCAATAGCAGCAGTAAGAGCTATTGGTGTATTCAGTGGTGAAGGCCACTGAGATCCTCTCAATCTCTTTTTGTTCCAACAGGGAAATCATGGCTAAGGGAATCACTTTTGGCACAGAGTCCAGTGGGTGCACTTGTAGCTGTGGTGACACTGATATCAGATGCCTGGTGCTTGTGCAACAGTCATGGAGCCAAGATCTGAACCATGGAGATGCACAGAGGCACAATCCCTTTGAAGTCTGAAGTGTTGATGACATCATGCCTTGGGCATAGATGCCCCGCTGCTGTGTTGATAACTCTGTGTGGGGCACAGATGCTTGTGAAGCAGCCGAGAAGTTGATGGCCAAAGTCTAGGCGTGTGCAGAGCTATAGTGGCTCCAAGGTCCAGAGTGTGGGTGGCTCTGGGCTCTGGGCCTCAGGATGCTCAATATTGTAGTGGAGTTGGTGCATGGAGTGTGTATGCACACACAGCAACTGGGGCTCTAAGGTGTGGGGTGGGGCTAACCTATAACAGTAGTGACTCCAGTGTTTGAGACATGTGCAAAGTTGGAAGGAATGGTGGCTTCAGCCATGAGGCAGCAAAACAGTAGCTCCTCTGGGAGCATTGGTGAAGTAGTGTTTCCTTTTCTGGGGGTGCCACTGTGGAGATGGTTGTTGATTGTCTTGGTAGTGAAAGATGGCAGTGTTCTCTGCACAGCAGGTTGCTGGGGAAAATGATGGCACAAATAACATGGTTGATAATGCTAGAAACTGATTTTCTTTGTTCCTAGACATCTCAGGTATTTACATATCTCCAACAGTCTTTTCTATGTGGTTATTCCCTCCCAAACCTTTTTGTTCTACTATGTTGCTATAGATTTTTAAATAGATCCTTAAGTCCTACTAAGGCTATTATCATTCATGGATAATTATTGGTTGATTTTATTGTGAGGGGAAGAGAATTGTATCTCCTACTCTACCATCTTGTTTATATGTCACTCTGTTTCTGTTTTGTTTGTCAGTGTTTTGTTTGGGAGGATGCTGAAATAGAAACTGACAAGGAAGAGATCTAGTTATGAAGAACACATACTAGCTTCTTTTGGATCCTGTTAACCTTCTTGAAACTTGAGTCCTTTACTACTTATATTTCATTTACTTTGGAATGATCGTTCCCATACTAGTTCTTTGTCATTTTTAAACTTGGCTGAAATCTTAATTTTCCAGAGAAAACATTTTGACCAATCAATATAAAGTAAATTTTTTTCTCTCATTTTTATGTATACTTACATGCTTATTCCACACATAATTATACATATGTACATATGTATTTATATATGTATAAATGCATATTTGTGCATGTTTCTTACGAGGTTTATTTGCTTACTGTCTATCTTCTCCATTAGATTTAAACACCATGGGCACAAGAATGATGTTTATTTTGCATGGGTCTATGTTCTCAGGTCTCATCACTACGGCCAAAACCTTTTTGCAATAAATAAACAGTTGATGAATTCATATTTCTTCTCAACAGTTCAAACATTTAAGGTGATTTAAAAGAAACACAAATCCCTGAGGTCCACATCCCTTATTTAATGATAAAATGTATGTCTCTGTCTCTTAGTATTTATATCAAATCACAGTCTTGAAGGACATGCTGTGGCTTAATTTGTGCATTACCCAAGAGAATAACTGAAAGTAACATAAATATACTCATGACCTTCCACAACAAGCAGAGCTGGATCCCATAGATACTTTAATTACCTGATTTCCAGTTATGTGAGATAAAGCATTTTGTGGCCTTCATAGAGTATGTGTCCCCTGAGAGCTCCACAACCATATAATTACCTCCTGGTTCCCTCTTTTCAACTGTTGAAGTATTTATATGATTCCATTTGGCTTCACATTAAAGGGAGCAGCCCCGGAACCAGAGTCACTTTGACCATTTATTTATTCATCTGATTGTTAATAGTCATCTAGCTGTAACTATGACCTTCTCTGAAACTGATGTATAGCAAAGAGCCTGCAACAATGTCCAGGAAAAGACCCCCAATAATAATTATGTTAATTGTTGTTATGATTATTACCCCTTACCAAGTATAAGAAATTTTAGGATTTCTATTCTTTTCCTACCATAGCAGGAGTTTTCAGGCTGGATTTTACTGGGGCTATCTTTTATTATTTTATTTTTTATAGATTCAGCTGTTGATCCTCCAATGAGGTAAGTGACTTATCTACAAAGAAAGAGAGTAAATACAGGAGTAGAGCTCTTGTTAGTTGATTATAAAGCCAATAGCATTTTTCTTTTAATCTCTCTGAACTTTAAGCCTTTTGGCCAAATATTCAAGAGGAGCCTCCGAAAAGTTGTTTTCCTTCTTTAAAGGACTGAATTTCTGACGTGACCTTTACTTATATATGAAGGTGCTAGACTTGAATTTTGTATTTCTCAGGGAGAAAGGTAAGCCTTTGGATCAAACCTATTGTCTGCACAAAGCTGCAGGGGCAGAGGTAACTAGAAAAATGCATCAAGGTACCCATTTCTCCTTTGGTTTAATCAGAGATTTGGCTTGACTATTTCGAATATTTCTTTTATCTGTTTCAGACATCCAGAGGCTATATATGTTGAGTCTCCCTAATCTAAAACATTTGGGATCAGCTGTGTTTCGGATTTTAGATTTTTTTGAATTTTGGAATATGTGTCTGTTTATAATGAGATATATTGAGGACGAAACTCAAATTTAAACACAAATTTATTTGTTTTATATACATATTATATCCATAGCCTAAGTAATTTTATATAATATTTTAAATAATTTTTTGCATGAAACAAAGTTTGTGTTACACACTTATGTGTGGAATTTTCCATTTGTAGCATCATGTTGGTTCTTTTTTTTTTTTTTCTAGTTAATAAATCTTCTTTATTAAAGAAAGTAAAAGTACATGAAAAACTGCAGGAGAATGACCAGCTAGAAGAAAATGCTTAACTTGCATGTTGGGAAGTGCAGTCAAATGTTTCTAGTAGGGACATCTGAATATCTCAAAAGCACTCAAAGAAAGAAACTTCACTGCCCTCCTCATCTCTCCTTCTTCCTTACTCTCTTCAACCCAAGTTAGGGAGTGCAGCAGAATCAAATAAGAAAAAGAAGATAAACTTCTTAAATAGTTTTGGATTTGGGAGCATTTTAGATTTTGGATTTTTGGATTAGGGATGCTAAACTTGTATTTCTAAGCAATAATGAATTTCTATTAGAATATGTATACTTACCATGTGACATAAAACAAAAGTACAAGAAACCCTTGAGTCCCTGCTTTACAAAGAATAAGCTTATATTACTTTGAACAAGTTATTTAAACTATTTATTTCTCAGTTTTCTGTTTCAGGAAATATAATATTAGTTCTCCTGACGAATCCTAGAGTTGTTGAGATAACCAAGTGGGATATCAACATAAAATTTTACTGTAATCTGGAAGCCCATATTAATATTTTAATAGAAGAGAGAGACCAAAGGAATGGTGATTAATAAATGAGGAAGAAATCAGGCCAGTTATAAAATGCTCTGAAATAGAGACGTGCAAAATTACATAAGGCACAACTAACTATTGGAATGAGGATACCTGATTTCGAGTTCTAATTCTGCCACTGAAAACATCTGGTCATTGGACACATAATTTATAAACTATATTATGGACTGACTGATGGTCTGCAGTGTAGATGTGATTAACGTCTATCACACAGTTCTGAGCAAATGAGAAAGCAATTCTCTGTCCTTGGGAATGGAGACTAAGAATATTCTGAACTTAAACTTGGTATTTATCAGTTTAGATGTCTGTCTCAGTCCTCTAAATATCCCGAGGTTAGGGAATGTATCTTGTGCATTAATGTAAGCCTGGCAATTAGCACAAAATGTGGTGCTTCATTCGAAATTAGTGCTTTTAGAGAAAATGAAGAAATGAACACATTCAGAAATTTGTTGATTGGTCAACTGGTTGGTATTACTAAAGATTTATGTTCCTTTTTAACTTTTTGAAGATGTTTAAGGTTTGGAAGTGGTTACAAACATTTGTGGATGCAGTTATTATCATCTAACTGAGATCCAGAAAGGTATGTTATTTGCATGAAGCCAAGAAAACTGGTAAGTATATTTGATTCCTAATTTAATTCATTTTTCATTTTTGAAATTTTCCATTCTTCACATTGACTTCCAATGATAGATTTAATTATTTCATCAGGCAGTTAGTCAATTAAATGAATTACTATCTTGTGCCCAGTTTAGGTTGAATGTAAAAGGGTTAAAGGAATTTTTCTTTGTGATGAAGAGCTAAGGCTTTAATTCAAAGTGACTTGGCTTTACATTTCACCTGTTCCAATGAATTAGTCTGATGATCTTGTATGAATATTTCCTTCTACACCTTAGTTCACTAATCTATGAAGTTAGGAGATTGAGATGGATTATCTCCAAAACCATTTTATTAAGAATGTTCTGTGAATTATTTTAATTTAAAGTTGCATTTTGTTGTTATGGGGATGTTTTAGATCCAGGACTCCTGGAAACAAATAATTGCAATACTGAAATAAGGCACCAAATGAGCATACTGACTGATCTCAGTAGTACTCCCTCCATTTATCATTCTGGTTCCGTCTTCTTATTTCTATAGGGCAGCTACACAATTCCCAATGGAGAACAACACAGAGGTGACTGAATTCATTCTTGTGGGGCTAACTGATGACCCAGAACTGCAGATGCCACTCTTCATAGTCTTTCTTTTCATGTACCTCATCACTCTAATTGGGAACCTGGGGATGATTGAATTGATTCTATTGGACTCCCGACTCCACACCCCCATGTATTTCTTCCTCAGTAACCTCTCTTTGGTGGACTTTGGTTATTCCTCAGCTGTCACTCCGAAAGTGATGGTAGGATGCCTCACAGGAGACAAACACATATTATACAATGCTTGTGTCGCACAATTCTTCTTCTTTGTAGCCTTTATCACTGCAGAAAATTTTCTTCTGGCATCAATGGCCTATGACCGCTATGCGGCAGTGTGTAAACCCCTGCATTACACCACCACTATGACAACAAATGTATGTGCTTGCCTGACCATAGGCTCCTACATCTGTGGTTTCCTGAATGCGGCCATTCATACTGGGAACACTTTCAGGCTCTCCTTCTGTAGATCCAATGTAGTTGAACACTTTTTCTGTGATGCTCCTCCTCTCCTGGCTCTCTCATGTTCAGGCAATTACATTAGTGAGATGGTTATTTTTTTTGTGGTGGGATTCAATGACCTCTTTTCTGTCCTGATAATCTTGATCTCCTATTTATTTATATTTATCACCATCCTGAAGATGCACTCATCTGAAGGATGCAAGAAGGCCTTTTCCACCTGCGCTTCCCACCTTACTGCAGTTTCCATCTTTTATGGGACAGGTATCTTTATGTACTTACGACCTAGCTCCAGCCATTCCATGGGCACTGACAAAATGGCATCTGTGTTTTATGCCATAGTCATTCCCATGTTGAATCCACTGGTCTACAGCCTGAGGAACAAAGAGGTTAAGAGTGCATTTAAAAAGACTGCAGGGAAGGCAAAGGCCTCTATAGGATTCATATTTTAATTATATAGAATTTACAATAAGACAATTTCTTCCACCTCATATTTATCTTTGTCTACTAAGTCCAATATTTGGGCTTCCTCCTGGACAGTTTCTATTCACTGTTTTCTTAAACGTGAATTGGCCATACTTTCCTCATCTTTAAGTGACACATTTTTTGTTGTTAAAATCTGGACATTTTAAATATTTGTTATTTCAGGTAGCATATTCTCAAAATCATATCTTCCCTCTCATCTAGGCTTTGTTTTTGTTGGTGGTACTTTTGTTTGTTTAGTGATTTTCCTAAGTTACTTATGTTACTTCTGTATTTCTTGTTGTGTGTAGGCACTGAAATTTCTGCTCACAATTGGACAGATTTTTTTAAAGTGCTTTAAATTGCTAAATCTCTGAAGCCTTATGCATGGGATTTACATATGTGTGTTAGAGCATGTTTTCAGTGCTCCAGCAGTTTCAATTCTACCTTTAATCTTCATGTTCTCTTTGTGCAGAGCCTCAAGTTTAGCCACAAATGAAACATTAGGTCTTTCCTGTGCATACATAGCGCCTTGCCCATGTACCTGTTCTTTGTAATCCCCAGGAATATATGGGAGCTTTTCAAAGCCCTCTATGGATTTCTAATGCCCTCATAAATTTTTTACAAGTTTGGTTAGATTATTGTTTGCTCCAACTGATATTTAAATTTTCAGGCAATTGCTGCTTAATGCTTTGACAAACACTTTAGGAATAAAAATTTCTCACTGAATGAACTGAGTATGGTGAAATAAAGACAAAATTGTAAATGGGGTTTTCCTAGGAAGCTGCCAAAACAGTGACAATTCTCTGGGAAGCAGGCCCTTTAGCAATCTCCAACATTTTTTGTTCACTTTAATGGTTGTTAGGCCAATATTTTTCTCAGCTACCATAGTTCCATGTGTGCTAGTTTTTAAGGTTACCACAGAGCTGGGGGAAAAGCAAGTTAACATGCCACAAAACTCACCGTTGATACTGAATTCAGTCATTGTTCTTGAATGAATACTTATTGAATTGTTGCATGCCCTTGGTTAGTTTCTAGAGTTTCAAATATTTTTATTATAGACACTTTTGCCTGTGTTATCATTGATTTTATGGAAAAGCAGATTTTTGGGAGTCCTTTCTTTATCATTCTGGATATGTTTATTCAACGCTTTTTGAAATTAAAAAAAATTTTTTTTGATAGAGTCTCACTCTGTTACTCAGGGTGGAGTGCAGTGGGATCCTCTCGGCTCACTGCAACCTCCACCTCCTGGGTTGAAGCAATTCTCATGCCTCAGCCTGCTGAGTAGCTGGAATTACAGGCTCATGCCACCAAGCCTGGCTAATTTTTTGCATACTTTTAGTGGAGATGAGGTTTCACCATGTCGACCAGACTGGTCTTGAACACCTGACCGTAAGCGATCTGCCTGCCTTGGCCTCCCAAAGTGCTGAGATTACTTGCATGAGCCACCACGTCTGGCCTTATTCTATCCTTTTAGATTTAACCTTCCTTTATTATATCCTCTCTAAGAAAATTATTTTATTTTTCATAATATAATTTACAATTATATATTTATCTGTGAGTTTGTTTTTAATGTCTCCCCATTAGACCAAAGTCTATTTATGTAGGTACTTTTTTGTTTTGCTCTGTATACTATGGATTTAACACAGTGGCTAACACTTATACATTTCATATTCAAATTGCTGAAAACCAAATAGAAGAAAACTATAAATACATTCAAAGGAAAAAAGGCACATTATATATAGAGGAACAAAAACAAGGTTCACTGCAGTTTTCTCATCAGAAACAGGATAGGACAGAAAACATCTGTCAAATGCTGAAATAATAAAGAAAAGACCCTGTTAAACCAAGTGAATATATTAAAAAATCAAAGGGAAATAAAGACATTTTTCAGACACACATGCTGAAAGCTCATTGTCAGCAGCCCTTCACTGCAAGAAATACTGAAGAACTTCTTCAGGCATAAGAAATATGATGCCAATCAATAATTTACATTTGTGCAAAGAAATGAAGAGCAGTGAAAATCAGATAGACAGACTGAAGACCTACTCTTTTTGTATTTTTAATTCCTTTAAAAGGTGATTGTCTAAATCACAATAGTAAGAATATACTCTGTATTTATTTATAGAATATGTAAAAGGAAAATGTATAATAATAATATAAAATATTAGAGCGCATAATTGTCAGTGTATGTTTGCAACATCCTTAACCTACTTGTAAAATGGCACAATATTATAAAGAAGCATACTTTCATGAATTCCAGACATATATGGTAAACTCTAGGGCAATAACTAAAACAATTTTTTTTAACTAAAACAATTTTTAAGAGAGGCATTTAATAAGT